CACACTTGTAATCCCAACACTTTGGGAGGCTGAGGCAAGGAGGATCACTTCAGGCTAGGAGTTCGAGACTATGCCAGACCTGTTTCTGAAAAAAATAAATAAATAAATAAAGAATTAGCTGGATGTGGTGGCTGACACCTGTCCTAGCTACTTGGGAGGCTGAGGTGAGAGGATCACTCGATCCCAAGAGTTCCAGCCTGAGTGAAGAATGAGATTCTGTCACAAACAAAAAACAAGTTCTGTTTCATGAATCTTTATACAGTAATTTTTTGGTTAGTACATAATCTCTGCTTGTATAATCACATATTGATTATATGTGAAAGGTAGTGCGGAATTGTGTTTTTGAACCGTATGTTCTTTACATTTGAGCTGAATTTTGAAAAGGGACCAAAATCAGTAAGTAAAGGTGAGCTGAGAACTGAGAGTAGAAAGCTTACATTGGAGCAGGGGTCAAGTTTAGAGGTTGCCACCAGTTTGCCTTGCTCCTTAGTTGCACTTCTTACCCTTTCTTGTACTCTTCAGCCTCTAGTATGTTGTTGGCTCTGTGTGGAATAGACTGCACAGTCTTATTGTAGTACACATTTTCTTAATATGCCATCAAATTTCGTAAATTAAGTTTGGTTTGGAAGAAAATCTGGAACATAAGACTTCCTAATTTCACCCTAAGGGGGCAGAGTTGGTTCAGTTTGTAGAATTGAAGGAGGAAAAAAAGTAGGGTTAACCTGTTGTAGAATAACATTAATGACATCTAGCATGATTGGCAGCATGTATGCGTCATGGTGGATGGTCATGACTAGGTGATTACTTGGGACTAAATCTTACTAAGGGATCAGATGGAAAAATCACTAAAAAGTAAGAAACTATGTGGAAAGATTTGAGTAATCTTCTATCTTAGGTATCTAATGAGACAGCAAAATCCCTTCTCTAAATAATGTCAAAATTACGTTTTGAATTAATTCATTATTGTATTTCTCTAGATCCTTCCTCTCTCAGACAATTATTATAAAGGGACTCATTCCATTTGCATTTTTGACATACCTAACCCATTTCTTCCCTTTTCTAGCATGATTATGATATGAGGGTGGATGATTTCCTTCGTCGCACTCAAGCTGTTGTCAGTGGTCGGAGAAGTAGACCCCGTGAAAGAGATCGAGAACGAGAGCGAGACCGTCCTAGAGATAACAGAAGAGACAGAGAGCGAGATAGAGGACGTGATAGAGAAAGAGAAAGAGAGCGATTGTGTGATCGCGACAGAGACCGAGGGGAGAGAGGTCGATATCGAAGATAATGCGCTTTTGCAAGCACTGATTGTTTAAAGATGAAAAAAAAAATCTTGTATTTTTTTTGTGTGTGTTTACAAGTAGTAAATTTATTTTCAGCTGTCTACATACAGTTCATTGTGTAGAAGGATTTATTATGACCCCCTTTGTTCCAAGCATGCAGTATAATAAGAACTGGAAAAACTCAAATCCGCCAAAAATACACAGTTGACAGTTGACTTGACACTTCCGTTGGGGCAGAATGGAACAGTCCAGGAATGTAGATAACTGATTCCTTCTTCGTAAATGTTCATCTTACGGTGTGTTCATCCTAGTTATTTTTTTGTTTGTTTTCTTTCTTTTGGATCTTGATTGATAACTGCCATGATATTTTGCTTTGATGTGTTTCTACATGTAGTTGCACACGGTTCAGTAAAAATGCTGCTATCAAGTATGCAAATATTGAAGTATGATGGTTTGACTATATGGCAGTGTTGTAGCAGCCTCTTGGTTTTTTTCCTTTTCCTGTTTTTTTAAACTTATAAAGTCACTTTTTATTTTTATTCAGTCTTCAATGATGAGAGCAATATTAAGAAGACACTGCTATCTAATTTTTAATCTTTTTAAATAAAAAATTCCTATGTTCAGTAGCATGGTTGATGCTATTGTTTATCCTTCCCCTCCAAACTGTATACATTGGCTTGGAATGTTCACAACTTGCGTGTGTGGCAGCGGAAGATAATTCCCGTATTCTACATTGCTACTGTTTTGTATAAAATAAATTGGTAAAGATTGACACTCATCTTTTGTATTTCTTGTCTGATTGTAAGTTTGTTTTATTATGCATAAAAGAATGCTTTTTGTTTAGGAAATTTTAGGAACCTCATTTGCTTTTTTATTTATTTTTGACATTTGAGCAGAAATGATTGACCTAGGCCAATTAACAGCTTATTAACAAAATGTGATATGTGTATACTATGGAATCCTACTCAGCCATAAAAAAAAAAAAAATGATGAACTACCTATTGTATTATCCTGA